CTAGATGTTAGTCAGACAACATTTATATGTTCGTTGTTAATGCCAACTTTGTAAATAATTGTCTAAGATGCTTATGATTATCCGTTGTTTGTTTACCTTCAAGCTCTGCTTCCTTCAGTTGCTTGACGCGTCGCGTGTGCAAGTGAAGAAGTGAGCACCAGCACACACACGTTATGTACATAACGACATGCAAAAGGTGTTTACTATATGTTTTCATTGAAGTTGTACACAATACTTATCCATCCACAGAGTTTGTAATCTAGTCAAATGTTTACAAATACAAGTCCAGCCGTTTAGAGGTAATTTCTAGTCAATGATGTCAGAATTTACCGGTATTTAAAATGGATGTGTGAATGATCTTTTCCGGAAAAATTCCGTAACGTCCTCGCCTGTGTGAACAATTTTGCTTTGAAAATTTTCCGGATATCTACCGGTCTCACTGTGTGAAAAGGGCTATTGTCTTTAGACTGTGGAAGAAACCAAAGCACCCAGAAACCTATAGACAGCACATTTAAATTAATCGCAGCATAAAAAGGGGATACCAGCAGAAGCTTACAGTACGTCAAGCGGAGGATCAAGTTTTCAATGTGTAGAATATCTGCGCAGAAGTGAGCACAATCAAGAACTCTTCTTACGACAAAACTATAACTTCCATCAGTCGCTCCACTCTTTTCACATCTCTACTAGTATCTGTGAACCTGTGCAAGCATTTAGCTCTCCCAGAATCGCGGCTGCCACACAGCCTGCCTCCTCCATATTGTTCCCCGGGGGCGAGCCACCTGCAGCAGCCTCTGGTTGCGCGAGCAGATTGCCATCACTGGTAATTGAGACTGCGGAAGAGCTCCGAGACATTTCAGCAAACGCTAGATAGGAATAGATAGCGGAGGCAGCTCGGAAGGGGAGACGTGAGGCCGGGTGTCCACACGTGGAGAGAAAGAGAGAAGGAAAAAAAAAACACAACAACGTCAATTCTGAAGAGTTTCTTCCATCCCATGATGCCTCAAACAGGCCTGTCAGTGCTTGTGAAGAGCACATCAGGAGATGAATTCAGCCTGGGGCTTGAACACACAGATATGGCCTTGAGAACGATACATGAGGCGTAAGCTTGCGGACGAACTCGACAGAGGAAAGCTTTTACAGACATTGATATTTACACAACGCACAGCAAACGGTGATGTCTTTGAGATTTTTGGGGGCTTTGCAGAAATGAGGAATAAGGAGCATGCCAAGGTTATTATAGTTAACGAAAATGCATGAAAAAAAAAAAAAATCTTTTCAATCAAATTTTATTAGATCTTAATCAGATTTGAAATATAAACTCACGAGACACTTGGTTTTCAAGGGATATTTTTTTCTAGCACATTGCATTAATTAATGTTTCCCTGCGTTTGTATATGGAAAAACAAATATTAAACATAAAAACATTTCTCATGACTTCATGATGTATAACTTTTTTATATTCTTGAGCACGCAACTTCCCCTTTTATGACAGTAAAGCCCAAAATGTCTTCTTTCCAATGATACCTAAATTGTGTTTTTATTTTACTGGCAGGCCCGGATTGGCTAATCGGGAGGACCGGTGGGCCAGTCCGTTTTTTGGCCGCGAGGGCTGGTGTCCCTAGCTCCAGAATCTGTTGCTCTCAGCAGTCACACTTTTTAAATTAATGTTTACTTTACTTTACTAATGTATTTATTTACTTGACCACAGTGTTCTTATTCAATATTTTACCGCAGCTCTGCTATTTTTATATATTTTCTCGCAGCCTCGTGATCAAGATGCAGCGTGCAGGTTAATGACCATATAACTGTTGTGGTCGAGTGGTTAGCACGTTAGGTTTCGACGTCACCGTCCCGGGTTAGTTCCTCGTCTGAATAATTTTTTTTTTCATTTTTATTGTTAAGACATATAATACTGTTAGGGTTGCTGAACATTTGAAGTTCTAAATCAGCTGTTTTCTCAAAAAAAGACGTGATAGTGTAATTAGAAACTGAATTGGAAATGACCTTATTTCAATATAGTCAGTCGTGAACTGAGGTGGGCCGGTCTGAGGCTTGAAACTCCAGGGCTGAAAAGAAGTCCCACTCCGGCCCTGCTTACTGGAGTCAAGAACCTTTACTATTTAAAGTTAGGGAGGTGTAAATCCCCAAAAGTGAGTGCTGGCTAACAGGATGAGCGCTTAACATTACTGGAGACGTGAATCATTTCAAATGATTCAGTTCGTTTTGGTGAACTATACTGTAAAAAAAAAAATCCATAATTTTACTGTTTATTTACAGCAGCTGGGGTGCCAGAAAAAAAATATTGCACATTTGTGCCCAATATTGAGTTTTATTTCTGTATTAGTGATCATGATCGCAAACAAATCATTCTTTTTAACTGGATATTAGTGAACCAGTTGAACTACACTGTAAGAAAAATCCATAATTTACCGGTTTATTTTCGGCAGCTGGAACAAAAAAAAAAGTAAAATATCGGCCGTTAAATTCCACAAATTTACTGTAAAATAACGGACATTAAATGACAAAAAATTTACTTCAATTTAAATTTTCTGGTAAATGTCTGTAATTCAACCTTTGTTACTTTCCAGTAAATTTCTGTAATTTAATGGCCGTTATTTTACGTTTTTTTTTTTTTTTTTTTTTCCAGCTGCCGAAAATAAACCGGTAAATTATGAATTTTTCTTACAGTGTAGTTCAACTGGTTCACTAATATCCAGTTAAAAAGAATGATTTGTTTGCGATCATGATCACTAATACAGAAATAAAACTCAATATTGGGCACAAATGTGCTAAATTAATACTTTTAAGTGTCTGCTTGGGTTGTATTTAACGTTGTCATTGTGCTGCTGTCATGTCTAGGCTTTGTTTTCGTCGGTAGAGCGAGCACTGACTGGAGGAGAACCGGCTTGATCTGGCCAATGGCAGCAGTATTACAGGCTCTGAGTGCGAAGTAAATAGATTCACTTCTAAAAGGCTTACATTCTGTATTAAATACTTTTATAAAGATGAAAACAAAACGAAGGATGTTTTTGCTATAATTTTAGTTAGCTTCAGTTAGTTTTGTATATACACAATACATCTTCAGTTTTTTTTATTTTAATTTCAGTTAACGTAAATGTTTAACCACAAACGAATTACTTTTTTACATGCCTAATACCCATCTGACTCCAAATAAACCAATGTAAACTGAGTTATTCAGTTATCAGAACAGCACACAAGCGGTGAATATACAGTGATAATACTGCGCAAGCGTGATTCAGCAAACCGATCACAAACAGTACATGACAGCCTCATCTTCTGGAAAAATTTATGTTTAATTTAATTTCTGGAAAAATTTATGTTTATTTTTATGAAAGGAAGTTGTAATGGAATTTAAATAAGTGATACATGCTTGGTTGCAAAACGTAATTGTAAGAAACTTTTCAGATTACGGTGATGTCTTAACTGACTAAAATTGACTGATTACTGTTTTTTTTTTTTTTTTTTCGATAAGTTCAGTTCAAACTTGGGAAGACTATCACAAAAGATCCGGTTCACGTTAAAAACCTGAACTTCCCATCAATACTGTGTATTTAACCTCCGAAGCAGTCTTGCACTCTAAGTCTTGTAGATTACTGATGTCCATGTAAGCGTAGTCAGTAATGTCTTCAAAGTAAGTGAAAGATCTAGAAGGACATCCAGCTGATTTAATTCAGAAGGGCACTTTTTTGTCAGGCGGCTGAACGGTTTTACTTAAATTCACCGTCATTCATAAGCACCCAGTCTATTTTATTTGTAAATATTTTACTCAAACGAATTACCTCTACCTGATAGTAAGATGTGGAGCTAACATCAATCAGATTCACTCTAGTGAACACATAAAAATCGTCATCATAATTTACTCTAGAGCATGCCAAAATGTCTCGCGCCCCACTTAATAGATGCTGACGCCCCACAGTTTGAAAACCCCTGGTGCAATCAAAAATACACAGTAAATATTTCTTAAGGAGGCTAATAATACCTACCCTAAAATTATTATTTTTACTTGTTTTAATTAAAAACTGCTTTTATTCAATACAAACTTTAAGAAATAAGACGTATTATAACTCCAGAAGATTTTTTATTTTTGTTTTGTTTTATAGGAAATACTGTGCAGATTTCCTTGGTTTATTAAAGATCACTTGGAAAACATTATTTTAAATTAACAGGAGGGCAAAAAAAAAGACTTCACTTGTGTCTGTTAAAGTTTACAGGGGCAAAAGATGTGCCTTGATGTACTTGAATGTTAAAAATGTGTTATTCTACATTTCAAAGTTACTTGTGAATAAGATTATTTTGAGTTTAAGTTATTTAATTAGCTTGTTTATGAAGTCTGCAAAGTGATGCATGAAAGAAAATGACTTCGAATAATTGTTTAAGTAGTTTGTCATGTATGTTAAAGTGTGCCCCCTAAAAGTACAAGTGGCCCCTGCCCAGCCCCCCATTTACTCTCGTCTAGAACTGTGACTGAATCTACCTTTGAAAACTAATTAAAACAGACTGAATTTGAAAACAAAAAGTCCAAACGAAATAAAAACTTACAAATGTCAAATTAAAAAAAATAAATAAATAAAAAAGTAATATCCAAAACTATTATTACCTTGGTGCATGCCACACTGGAACAATTCATTCATGTTGTCCCAACACAAATTGATTAGGTTAACTTAACAAAATGAACATATGATTGAGATAGGACATACATCTCAAGAATTGTTGTTTCTGCTCATTTAATTTTAAACAAGCAGTATATCTCCACCTGTTCGCCCGTACTCAAAACTCCCTTTCCGTGTCATTTCCTCTCTCCGCTCTTCCTCCTCGGTGTCCTCCTCTCCTTTCATTAATATCCACAATATGATGGCTTTAACGACAGGGCTGCATTCATTAATATCTCCCCCCCTTTAAATGCCACTCTCCCGCGCTGCGCCAAAGTGAAACGCCACCAAATCAAAACATTAATTAATTACGTCGCCAACCTCACCAACCTTCAGCGGGCTGACATTTTCTCTCCCTGTCGCTGTGATGAGGGAGCCGGGTTACGGCTGGGTCTCCGCAGGGCTCTGCGTAGCAACGGCGCCTGCGGGTTTTAATGCAGAAGAGGAGAGATGCAACAGTGGGGTTTCTGAAGGAAGGCTTAGTGTAGTGTGAGTGCCCACTAGTGGAAGATTGAGGGACAAGGAAATTATATACTGAAGAAAAACACTACTGGTTTTGCTCATGTAGCAATCTTACATGCTAGAAAAAAAAAAAAAAAGCTTGCTTATTGCTCATTTCTCCTATTACTATTATATCTCCCATGAATATGAGGGAGATAGTATTTTAATTAGATCACATTACATAGTTTATGTTGGATCTACATTGAAGCAGTGAAGATATAAAGCAGAGCAACAGTGGGTCATATATGGTGCATCTAAAAGAGCGCTTCCCCAGCATACATAACAGACACATCCGAAAGGTGATGCTGAGGTTGTTCACAGGGCACAATTCCTGACCACACAGCTGAGACTGAGGTCAAACTGACATTAGTTTGGTTTAGTCGCCTTGACCTTTTCTCTAGGTCAGTAACTGACCATTGAACTTATGTCGGCTGTGTATTAGTGTAGTATAATAAATGTAAGAATGCTCCGATACCTTTTTTGGAACCGTCCCGATCCTGATACCAAAATTCAGAGTATCGACCGATACTCAATCCCGATACTGTGCTATTTTAAGTTCTGGTGCTAAACTCAATTAATATATTATCTTTATCAAAATTAATCTACCTATAGGCCTACTGTATATGACAGATGACACAGTCTAACTAAAAACACGATGCTTGCTGTAAACTAGGCTACATTATTTGAGCATTTGTTATGACATTGACTTGTTGTGGTCCAGCTTAGGTTTCCTTTTTTAATAGTAAGATTTTGGACACAGACTAATGCCGAATTCAGACTGCATGACCCGATTTTGACTCGCCGACAGGTTGAGAAATCACCGACAAATGCCTGAAATCACAGGCAAATCGTTGCTCATGCACGTGAGAGACTGTCTGATGCCTGTAAGATATTTGGTGTGCTTAACATCTGGAGCTGTCGGCGATTCAAATCATGCCGTGTGAAATAAGTTTTGGCTGAAATTAACAGATCGCCTACAGCCAATGAGAGAGCAACATTCACTTGTGTGCGAGTGTGTGTACCTGCAGACCAGCGGGAGGTTGAAGGAGAAGTTAAAAGCGCTCATGTTTGGTTTATTTGGACCCAAGAAATGGAGGAAAAACTAGTGGAGGACACCCGTGTCTGTTTGACGCTTCATACAGAAAGTAAAAAAAAAGTTGAGGAGAAATTGCTAATTCCTTTCAAACCCAGGTGAGCAAATATGTACAATATCTACCCCATTAAAGGCTTCTTTCTCGTTATGTAGTTAACAAAAGATATACTATGTATTTTTGGCTCTGAGACGTAGTTTGGACGAAATTGTCGGCAATTCTTCCTAATGTAAAGTCATGCAATGTGAAAGCCCCCGTCGCCGATCCATCTTGCAGTCTTAACTCGGCATAACCTAAACTGTCTGAGACCAGTTTTACTTCATAAACATTCCCTTTTCTGTTAATGACAATTTATATTTTGCCTGTCAGTTTCACTTTAATTAATTTAATCAACTACTTTGGCCACAATGAGCCAGGCTTTTCGCAGCACTGAAAGTATTATCCTCGAAAGAATAAACTCAGTTGGAAGGATGAAAGAACAGAAACTCGTCGTGAGAATAATTTCACGTCACGTCTGCGTAGCCGGTGCTTGAATAAAACGCTTGATGCATCACTGAGACACACCGCGCAGCCCTCTGGTATCTGAGGACACTTTCTAAACTTAGCAGCACAAAAGGAAAAAATGAGTGTGTTGAGGATCTGTCCAATGTATTATTGAGTTTTTTCTAATTCAACATTTCAGGTAGGCTTACTTTGTGTGTGAAGAGCAGGTAATAATCCTTCAATAATACTCCAGTGTTGCGAATGCGATCAGCTCATCTAACAAACACAGCACTACATGATTTAGAAACAGCAATGAACTCCTTGTTGCAGGTCAAAATTAACCTATTTAATGCACATCTAAATGCATTTCTCCACTGATTACTTATTTTACCTGGAACAAATAGTCTTGGAGAAAGTTTTTCGTGTTGTCATGAACACGACACGCAGCTTGAATTGTAAAAGAATGAAAAATGATTGACAGGTGCAGCAATGGAAAGCGCTGAACTGAACATGAGTTTAACCACATGAAAAGTCATCTGTGCTTCTTATTAAACTATAGAATGGCTTCAGAACATTTGGTGTATAGTAGCCATACATGACTTTCATATAGTAAGCTTATAATAAGCTACCTTCATGGCTTTTGTTGGCTTATAAATTACACAGAATAAAGCACATGATAACCGATCCAGCAAAAATATGTGTAATCGAACCGGTATCCGATCCAAGTATCGGGATCTGTGCATCACTAAATAAATGTAGCAACAAAGCTCAAAACAAAGCCTTCTTATGCTTGGAGATAAGCATGTTTGTGTGAGGAAATGTCATATATGATGATTAAAACTGTGTTGGAAGTAATGCCTTAGAAATGTCATACACTGCAGTAACAAATTACGTTTCGCTATAATGCAGTAGTGTAAGGGTGTTTTTAGGGTAATAGGGTGCCCTATTTAGTTCGATTGACTCGCACTAGAGTTCGTTTCCCTCCTGGTGCGGTTCGTTTGGGCAGGTGTGAATGTAGCAATCCCAACCAAAAGCAGACCAAAAAAGCATACCAAGACTTCCTTGAAGAGGTGGTCTCGATACGCTTTCAAACAAACCCTGGAGTGGTTTGTTTGTGGCAAGAACATGTACCGAACTAAAACAGACCCAACTGCTAAATTTTCTTGGACTAATCCAGCTTCCATAGTCCAATGCGCTGTCACATCTTATAATGTGTGGAGGAAAAATATTTGTTGACAGCGCTTTACCAACAATTTAAAAAAGAGACAGAGCGAGAGAGAGAGAGAGAGAGAGAGAGAGAGAAAGAGACAGAGAAAGAGAGAGGGAAACACATTACCAAATGGATTGTTGGTAATATTTCCAGAAGCACAATTAATTCAACCCACATTGTTAAGTGACTTGCGATGCACCTTCGCTATTTGCAATGCAGTAAAACATAGTTTTCCTGCCGCAATCGCGCTTTATTCTCGTAATGTAGTTTTTCTAAAGTGATGTACAGCATACAAAGTGTTTAGTATACTATGACCAGGGATACAATCAGCCAGCGGAGTTGTCCCTCCATAGTAAAAAGTGTCTTCTTGTGTCTGCCGGTTTGTTTATTTGATGATACAAAAAGTAAAGGTCTAGAAAGTTGCAGTTCTGTGACCAATAATGCTTCAATTCCAGAAGTCCAGAGCGGTCCATGTTGATAGAAAAGCAATTTTAACCTTAAATAACCACTCAATAAACTAAAGACCCAATGGATGGGTGTATTGGATGGATGGATGGATGGAAGGATGAATGGATGGATGGATGGATTACATGTTTTATGTGTATTGCCGATCACATGTGGGGGTCACTCCTCACCAACCCCAGTGGGTAGCTCCAATGGCTCTAATGCTTGACCATACTCCAGCTGTAGCTGAAGAGGAGAGACAGTGATAGATCCAGTTGAGTGAATGAGAATGATTGGAAGGTCATGGTGGGTAAGGGCCAATAGAGGGAATCTGGGCAGGACCCTTGGGCTACACCTTTACTCTTTACTAAAAGTTCCATGGGATTTTTAAAGACCACAGAGAGTTCAACATTGGATTAATCTTGAATCTGGAAGATGGCTGAACCTTGAAGCTAATTAGCTCCTGCAGCAGAATAACAGCACACTGGGTCCGAAATTGACAAAAACAACATGAATGCATGGATTCATCGTGCCTTCCTTATATCAGCAATTCAATTTGATCATGCAGTAATGGTGTGGGGGAAATTTAATTGGCCTATTAGTAACAAATTAGCATTTATTAGATGAAACAGTTGACCTGAATATTGTTGATGGTCATGTCCATTACTTTATGACCACAAAGTAATCATTCTGTGATGGCTAGTTCCAGCAAGATAAAGTGGCATGTCTTGATCGCTGAACTTCAAAAGACCTTCAGTCACCAGATCTCAATGCACAATATTATAACAAACTGGGCAATAAACGTATTCAAGTGTTTATTCATTTCTTTTTGTGATTTTAAATGGGTTTAAATTATAAATATTGGATTTAAATTTATTATATTCCATTTTTAAAGTTGTGTTTTGATGCTTTTCAAGTTCTAGCTGGGTGTCAATGTAAAGTTCTGCATTACATCTACTGTAATGTTTTGATTGTTAAAAATAAAGAAAACTGAGGAAATCCAGTAAACAATTTTACCATTCAAAGGCCTGGATATAAAATCCATTCAGCCCATACCTGCCACCATAATAAGGGATGTTTTTATCATTAGTTAATGGTCAGTTAAATGATGAGGGAGATGTTTTTTTTTTCCTCATTCATTCATTCATTCATTCATTCATTCATTCATTCATTCATTCATTCATTCATTCATTTTCTTTTCGGCTTAGTCCCTTTGTTAATCCAGGGTTGCCACAGTGGAATGAACCACCAACTTATCCCGCAGGTTTTTATGCAGCGGATGCCCTTCCAGACGTAACCCATTTCTGGGAATACTCCACACACACACTCATTCACACTCAAGCACTCCAAACAATTCAGCCTACCCAATTCACCTGTACCGCATGTCTTTGGACTATGGGGGGAAAGGAGGAAACACACGTGAACACAGGGAGAACACGCAAACTCCACACAAAACGCCAACTGACCCAGCCGAGGTTCCAACTAGTGACCTTCTTGCTGTGAGGCGACAGCAACTCCATTATTATTTACAAAAGAAAAAAGATACAGTGTATACATTCTCAGCAAATAAATTAGCAAACAGTTCAGCTTATTAAAATGAATAGCTCTTATAAAGAAAAAGAATCAAGTTATCAAATTGCTTTAATCTTTTCTTTGCTGTATAACTCACACATTCTGATTAAAG